AGGTTTTATAGTAGCTGGGGCGACTGTTATAATATTAATTGTACGGCATTGTATTGTTCGTTATGGAATAAATCATGAAACATTTAAGCCTTCCGATTTTACTTATTTTGTTAATTTTATCATCGTTGGTGTTACTGTACTTGTAATTGCTGTTCCAGAAGGTCTCCCTCTTGCAATAACACTCTCGCTAACATATTCCGTTAAAAAGGTAATAAAAAAAAAATTTTACAAAATTTTAATATAGTTTTATTTTTTCGGTAATTCTCGATAATATACGTATCACGTATATTATCGAGAATTATCACGAAAATACAATTATTTTCAGTACGATCAGTTTATGTTAACTATAATTAACTATTACATTTTGATTATTTGTTTTAAATTTATTATTTATGAATAATGAAAAATATTTTAAGTAATGGCTGATTAAATTATTTTTATAAAATTTGAAATTTTTAATTTTTAAATGTTGACAAATTTTTTTTTTCATTAGAATGTAAATTTTTAACATAAATGTCTAAAAATTATAATGCAAATATAGCATTTTATAATGATTTTCTTTAATTCAGATGATGAAAGATAATAATTTGGTGCGACATTTGGATGCATGCGAAACGATGGGTAATGCAACTGCAATTTGTTCTGATAAAACGGGTACCTTAACAACTAATCGGATGACTGCCGTACAATCTTTTATTAATGGTATTAGAGTTTATTAATTTGAAATGTTTTTAATATCAGAAGATTTTATTCAAATTTTAAAATATATCAAATTTTAATTGTTACATAAAACTATCTGTTCAATCGATATTATCAATTCACGGAACATCTATTTATTTTATCTTTTTTCATTCATTCTCTCTTTTTTTTTTTAAAAAAAAATCTCTTCACGGATTATATTTTTATTCTTATTTAATTCAATAATAAATTCTGCAAAAATTCGTACAATTTTAGGAAAATTTTACAAAGAATGTGTTCCAAATTTTAAACAATTAGATGAAAAAACACGTCATCTATTGATTGAAGGAATTTCTATAAACAGTGGTTATAATTCACAAGTAATGCAACCTGAAAAAGTTGGTGCACAAAAAATACAGGTTAATTTAAATTATCCAAATTTATCAATTTCTTCAATTCAACTATTCCATTTTGCTAGTTTTTTCCTCTTTTTTTTAAAAAAAAAATTATTATGTTTGAAAAGAAAAGAAATTTATTTCAAAATGTTTTATAGCTTGGAAATAAGACAGAATGCGCACTTTTGGGATTTGTACTCGATTTGGGTCAAAGTTATGAAAATATACGCAAAGAACATCCCGAGGAATCACTCATTAAGGTTTTTGTTTCATTTAAATGAACTTAAGAATAATTAAATTTTAGCAAATTTTAATTGACAATAGGTTTACATTTTGACATTATAATTTTCATTTTTTCTTTTCTTTCTTGAACAGTTGTTTATCGAAAGATTCATTGCTAAAGAAAAGATTGAATGATTCTCGAATACATAGATTATATTGAGAATATTAAACATATGAAATGATTTATAAAAACATTTTAGATTATGACGATTTAATAAAATTAATCAGTAATGTATTAATGAATATGATATTTTTAGGTTTATACATTCAATTCGGTAAGAAAATCAATGATGACCGTTAAAAGACTTTCAAACGGTTATCGAGTTTATGCAAAAGGTGCTTCAGAAATTATTTTAGCGAGGTTCAGTTTCATTTAATTATTCAGTTATTCAATTATTCAATTATTTGCTAATTATTCCATAAGCCCGAAATACGTATTAATTATAAATGACAATTTGCATGCTATTGAATGAAAGTCAACTTAAAATATTAAACATTTAACAGAATTACTGAATTGAAATTAAAAGGTTAATTTTACTTTTCAAGATGTTCCTATTTCCTTGGTCCGGATGGAAAAGTGGAACCGTTTAGTAGTGAACAACAACAGGAAATGATAAGGAATGTTATCGAACCAATGGCTTCTGATGGCTTACGAACAATTGGACTTGCCTATAAGAATTACATATCAAGCGCTGAAGAGGCTGCTGAAAATGATGTAATTTTTATTTCTCTGTGAATTTAACAAAATTTAGAACAATTCAAATTTATTTCTAATATCTATTTCGGAATATAATTGTATTATATCCGGCGAATATTTTGCTGCCTGATCGGGCAAAATATTCATTGGATTGAAATTATAGACAGTATATGAAGGTGAAATTGATTGGGAAGATGAAGAGGCAGTACGAATGAAAATGACTGGAGTAGCTATCGTTGGCATACAAGATCCGGTAAGACCGGAAGTTCCAGCTGCAATTGAGCGTTGCCAGAAAGCTGGTATTACTGTTCGTATGGTCACTGGTGATAACATCAATACAGCACGATCAATTGCTACTAGTTGTGGCATTTTAAAACCCGGAAGTGGTTTTTTAGCTCTCGAAGGAAAAGAATTCAATGAGAGGTATTGTTTTCATAAGAGAAAATTTCAAATTCAAATTGAAATTCAATTTAATTCTGTTGAAATCTTTTACTTATGCAGTAGAAAAAAATTCCGCTTGTTTACAAAATTGTTAAATGATGAGGAATCCATTTAAATTGTCATATAAATAAGGCTAGAATTGTTCTTCTGAAATTCATTACTTTGAGTGAAAAGCAGAAATTCGATTCTCACAATGTGCAAATTAAAAACAATCCTAATCATAATTATTTAATTTTTATAAAATCTATCTTTGGAAGCGATTGTGATCGTTTTTTTAAGAAAAAAATATTGAGAAATATTTCTGTCAAAAAATTTCGGAAGGCTAAAACTTCAATGATAGTAAATAGTATGAGCATTTAGAATTCGTGATACAAATGGTAAAGTGAATCAGGCAAAATTTGATGCAATTTGGCCAAGATTACGAGTACTTGCCCGAGCACAACCGACCGATAAATATATCCTTGTGAAAGGAATCATTAATAGTAAATCTTCAAAGAACAGGTAAAAATGCAACTTTCAAAATATTTTGTTTAACTAAATTATTACAATATTTAAATTTTTCA